AAGTCATTTTGAACTCTGCTTCTGAGCGTCAAATACGTAGTTAAACGAAAGCACAGATATGATAATCCTGGAGAAATGGCTTCATGGATTAAGTGTGAAGTGTGTAATAACGACTGAGAAAGCTATAACGTTGACCTTCACGTTTTTACCAGTCTGTGAGTTAAATTTGTTAAAGGTGTGTGTCCACCTTTCACAGCATCTTATGGATCTTCTGGGTATTTTAAAAGCTGATATCTTCCAGGAAACGGGGAAGTCGTTTCCTCTTTAATAGAGAGATTCTGTGCACCTTAATTAAGAAAAAATCATCAACAATAAGCCATAATATCATCAGAAATTGGCAAATCATAATGAAAAAAGACCAAAATTTAAATAGATGAAAGGAGAAAGCGTTACATTTATACTTAGTTTATTCTTTTGTTACATATTTAATACAAATATAATTGAGACATATGCTGCATATATGTTTAAAAATATATGCAGGGAAAGCACTCTTAATGATTACAGCGGGTGACGCGTGAAAGGTTAAATGCATTATAATCAGCAGAGCTGCTACATTTTTTCCAAATAGTCTGCAGTTGTCGCCTATGCGCCATGCAGGCACCCCCACCCCCCTCCCCATACACCTACACACACGCACACCTACACGCACACACTCGAGAATGTCTTCCACACAAAGAGACACGCATATGCTCCAGGTTGGTGCACGGATAAACATTTAAACACTTCACAGCGCGTCTGTCGTTATAAATGTGAGACTAGATTGAAGGCGATCAGTTTTTTGGGGATTCAAATTGTCCTTTCGACGCATTTCTTTCAATTTCGCAAATAAGTCTCCAAGTCCCGCGATGCCCGGTGGAAACGTGCGCGACTCTCTGCAAAAACCAATTTCAAGTCCGTGTTGTAGGTGTCGCTGTTGACCACGTCTGCATCCGCAGTGCGAGTGTGTGCAGAGAGAGGAGGCTGCGTCTCAAGGCCATTTTCAAATCTCATTGGTGGGCTTGTCATGTGGTTGGGAGGCATCCTGACTTACAGATTGTTTTTCCTAGATATGTCAGCTTACAAAGGACATCTCTCTCCTCCTAAGAACTTAAATTCAAAAAATGTCCTTCTCCAGTAGCTCTCCTGTGGCAAATACATTTTTAGTGGACTCTTTAATTGGTGCTTGCAGGACGGACAGCTTTTACTCCAACAGCAACATGTACATGCCGTCTGGCTCAGAAATGGGAACTTACGGAATGCAAACCTGTGGACTCCTGCCGTCTTTCGGCAAAAGAGGGGAGGTCAACCACCAAAATATGGGCATGAACGTCCACTCGTACATACCTCAGATAGATAACTGGACTGATCCGAGCAGACCCTGCAGAATAGAGCCTCCCAATCAGATGTCAAACTGTACATTTTCACAGAGCATAAAGGAAGAGAGTAACTGCTGCATGTACTCCGATAAGAGAGTACAAAAAGTCAACTCTTCAGAAGTCCCCGCATATTCTAACGTTATTCCTGAATCGTGTCCGGTCGATGGTCCCGAGATCCCGGTTCCCGGCTATTTCAGACTGAGCCAAACTTATGCGAACGGGAAGCATCAGGAAAACTACTGCCATGAAGCACCGAGTCCAAACGCGACCCTGATGCAGCTCAGCCGGGTCACCCCGAAACCGCAGCCTTCCTCGGCGTCTTCTAATTTCTCGGAGGTGGATAAAAAAATTGAGGACGCTTCGCAAAACCCGGAAACCGCAAGAACGCCGGTCCCCTTAGAAAGCCCGGATCCCAAGTCCGGCTCGGAGGAGAAAAACTGCTCAGTGGAAGCGCCTGTGTCCAGTCCTGAGCTGCTACAGAAGGAAGGGAAAGGTGGGTTGGCTGTAATGAAAGCTTTTATCTCGTGGCGCGGTGCTGAGAAGGCTCCAGCATCATAAAACCAAGTATAAAACACAAACAACCCTAAAGTCGTAATGTTTAATGAGAGTCTTTCTCAGGTTGCACTGATAGGCAACAGAGAATGGTTTTGCCATGCAGCATGAAGCCTATGTCCCCCTGTTCTTTGGATATTTAAAGTATATGCATATTTTTTTAAATGCATAATCTTGTGTTATGTGAGCATATTGCACAGCTTTCATAAATTGAAGCGTCAAATCAAGCTCTACTGATTAATTCTAACATCTGTTTGGCAAATGTTTGAACTTTTAAGTTTTGGAAAAAGATGAAAAATGATGAGGAGAAATCTCACCCTAACCCCAATCCAGTTTTGACAATTTGCAAAATTAGTCAAATATGTCAAATTCCTTGTGAAATCTTACACGATTCATATTAATTCACTATTTAAATCAGGATTTACAGAAAAAAAGATCAGGCCATATACACACGTATTCCTCGTGTGCGGGTTGATCATTTGGGGTTTCATTTCATTTTTGTTTTATTAGTGATGGCATGTGAGTGACTAATAACAACCCGTGCATTTTATTTATTCAGGGAAATGTTGTGCGTTATTTCCCAGAGGTGAAATCCAAAGCAACTGATGAGCTTTTTGTTCGAGAGGACGCTCAGTGCATCGCTAAAAGAATAAAAATAAATAAATAAAAAATAAAACTCTGATCTCTCTGATTTGAATCCCTGCAGACTGCAAGAGTGACACTCTCACAACCAACTGGCTGACAGCAAAAAGTGGGAGAAAGAAAAGGTGCCCCTACACAAAGCACCAAACCCTGGAGCTGGAGAAAGAGTTTCTCTTCAATATGTACCTGACCCGAGAGCGCCGCCTAGAGATCAGCAGGAGCGTTAACCTGACCGACAGGCAGGTCAAGATCTGGTTTCAGAACCGCAGGATGAAGCTGAAGAAAATGAACAGGGAAAACCGCATCCGTGAACTGACCTCAAATCTCACCTTTTCGTGAGGCTGCATGTGTTAGCTGTCTTTCCTCCTCCTCGTCCTTCACATATTAGTTTGATGCTTCGCTGGCATTGGACATTTATCTCAAAATCAACAAAACTGTGACTGTATTTGCCAATCTTAGTATTTTTTTATTTGTATTATTATTATTATTATTTTGCGTGGCGTCCTGTATTTGTTTTGTTTCATCACAGGGTAACACTTTGTGGTCTTAAATTATTGGAGGGTGCTTCTCTTCTACTAAAAAGACATGGGTATCCGGCCGAGCTGTGGAAAAGGTTACTCTATTTCAGTCATGAAAGCACATTTATTGTCGTCTAGTGCAACATTTGTTTAAGAGTAAGTGCAAGCCGTGTGCTCGATAGTGAAATGTTTCTATGGGCTTTAAAGTGATGGAAAAAATACAGAACAAAACGATGTCAATCTGTGAATTTATTGCATGTTTGTGGCATGTATCTTGCAATAAATATATTGTCAAAGGATCTTGTTTTAGATTTGTCCGTGCTACACGGTCTCTGCTCGGCAGATAGCCTGCTTCAGTTTTAGCAGCACTGTGAGTATCCGAAATTAATTTGCACTGACGCAAGCATTGTTTTCCTTCAAAAAAACAGTCCCATTCCGAGCAGGAAAAGGCAAGAAAAAGAACAATTTCCTCCAAGCTTGTTGCACAAAACAGCAGGCAAAACAGTGTGAACGCGTCCCTCATTTGTGTTTCCAGTTTCGCCAAACGTTTGTAATTATGCCGCAACTTCATCGGAAGACTAGCCGAAATAGTTTGTTTGTAGACTTCCAACACTTTTAATCTAATCTTCTTAAATTCAGAAAATATATTCTCACACTCATTTACGCGTAGGCTACTCGAGGAAGGCTAGTTCTGGCTAAAAACGACTTAAAAATAAAATCTATTTAAAATCAGTATGAATAACAAGATATAATTCCTTTAAAGTCTATTTGGATGCAAAAGAAAAAGCTCAGCAAAAGCATGCGAAGATGGCTGATTGTGTAATGGAATAAAGTTGGTTTAGCTTTTGCGTGCAGGCCTGTTTATAATTAAACTCACTGCCTATAAGGATTAGAGGACGGAGTAAATTACTTTCGGCTCTCCCTTTCTTCGTGGCGAAATCAGCCTTCATTTTCATCTCTAGAAAATAACTTCGTGTGGCCTTCTTAGCTTGCCACAAATCTGTTTCAAGCGTCTGATAACGTAACACAATTTCTGATCCCCTCCTCAGATTTGACCTAGTTCTTATCTCCAAGTGTTCACTGAAGGTCGAGACATTCTGCCTTACACAGTGCGAGAAAATGACATACTGAAAAAAGTAGGTAAAAAAGTAGAAGAAGAAACATGGCAAGATGTGCAGGCTATTAGTGCTAAATTGCACCTTTCAGAGAGCAATACACACATGGACTCCTCCAAGTCTTTTTTTATTGACGGCATGTATAATCACACGCACCTCGTAAAACATTTATTGATACATTATTACTCTCCTTTCAATGAATATAATAATTTCACGAGTGCTGCTGTTTCCGCCTCAACTTAAAAAATTAAACCAACTCAGAAAATACGTTTCCTTGCCAAAATATTAACAATGGATACACCGCACTGTGAGCTGAAATGGCGTCTTTTTTATTTTACAACATGTTATTACATCTATTTTACGAGGACTCTGTAAGTCCATAAACCATTTTACTGGGATTGAGGGTATCGGGACAGGACGATATTAGAAGAGCTTTTTCCCCCTTGAAGGATTAAGACAGAAGGAATCCGTGTTTTTGGACGGCGTGTGTGCTTTTTGGTGGAAATGTCTCTTACTCCTTTAAAAAACAGAACGACAGACTGTAGGTTTTGTTGAAACATCCTCACATCTTCATTAAAAAAGGGGCATTTTATTTGAGCGTTAGTTTTCTCCCACTAGTCACATCAGAATGGGCTTTTTATTATTTGAGAAATGAAAAGCTAAATTAAACCTGACGAAAAAAAAAGGGGGGGGGGGTGAGCAAGGGCAGGATTGATTTACTCGCTGTATTGGTAAATATGACCACGTGATCCATGTAACCAATCCCTGTAGATGCGGGCCAGCAAAAATACTATGATTGTTCATAAAGGGAAGCTTCCCGTAACAGTGCAACCCTTATTATATGAGTAGGAAGCCATCAAAAATGTCTTCCAGTGGCACTCTCAGTAACTGCTATGTGGACGCTATAATGGGGCAGGAGCCGGAGGATGTGTACGGTGCTCGCTTTATTCAGGCTCCACACGCGATGACCCCGAGGCCGTCAGGTGCTGGGGACAACGCAGACTTTTCCTCGTGTAATTTTGCACCGAAATCCGCTGTTTTCTCGCCGTCCTGGTCCTCAGTTCATCCTCAGGGGATTTATCATCCATATGTGCACCACCACCACCACCAGTCCCATCTGCCTGCGTCGGACGGGAGATACGTTAGCGTCCGACCGTGGATGGATCCCATTTCGAACCACGTTTCGTTCGCCGGATTCCCCTCCAGCAGTCGGTCGTACGGGACAAAGCCAGAGGTCTTGCCAGCTAAATCTTCAGATTGTGACACGTTGGAAGCGGAGGTTCGGCCGCTCGCTGGCGAATTCACGTGTGGAGTATCGGAGTGTCCAGAAAAAGCAACCAAAGAACACAGTGGAAGTGAGCTTTCGAGCCACAGCGAACCCAAAGAGGAAAAACAAAAACTTGACCCAAGTAAGTAAACGAAATAGCCGGTGCTGATTTACAACTTTAAGAACTGTGTGAGCCGGGTGTGTAAAACTGGAGTTTTTACTAACCTATAAAAGTGTCTCGTAGTATACTGTTGCTCCGAAAGGGGAGAACCCGCCCTACAAGGGTTATTGCAGGGATCCTAATGTTTTTCATGTCACGGGACACCCGAAATAGATACACAACTTAATATTTCGATAAGACTGGATCTAAGGAGACTTTATACCTAAGTACATATCTGATTTATTCCCCTCTCTTGGTGCACGGGGGCAATCAGTACAAACAGGAAATCATGTAATCGAAATAGTCCTCTTTGGACATAACAAGCAACAGTTCTCATTTTCTTTTGCTTCAATGAAACCGACCGCAAGTCTCTGAGCCCCATTTCAGGAAAAACAATGGCTACAGTTTATTAAAGGTAACAATAAAAAGGGGGAAAAAACCAAACAACTAATCACATGTGTATTTACTTTATGTGTTTTAGGTAACCCTGCAGCAAATTGGATTCACGCACGCTCGACGAGAAAGAAGCGATGTCCCTACACAAAATATCAGACTTTAGAGCTAGAGAAGGAGTTCCTCTACAACATGTATTTGACAAGAGACCGGCGCTATGAAGTCGCTCGCATACTCAGTTTAACGGAGAGACAAGTGAAGATCTGGTTCCAGAACAGGAGGATGAAAATGAAGAAGATGAACAGAGAGAGGAACGGCAAGGAGCATCTATAAGTCCGGTGCTGGTGCCGTTTCACACATTCTGACGTTTGTACCAAGGAAGCCATGTGAACAATTATAATGATTTTTGATAGGAGCCTCCTTAGCCATTTTAATTTTTTTAATGTTATTATTATTATTAATTTTTTTTAAAACATTTATTAAGTGTCAGCGTTCTGGGGTTATTTGGCCAAATATGCATCACACGTGCAAAAAATTCACCTTGATGAGACCCACAGAGGATTTGTCGAACAATGTTTCAAGCCAACTGACGCAACAAAGTTGGATGTTTACGCAGCAGGAGACATGTATGTGTATTGCTGTTATTTGGAGTTGTATATATATATATATATAAATATAAATATAAAAAGAATTCAGAGCAACTACTTCGACTGCTGTCTATGTCACTACACACACGGGACGCAGTTTCAGTAAAGCGAGAATTTACCCAGTTTTAAAGACTTTTTGCTTAAAATCTTTGTTTTTAAAACCTCCTAAATTATTTTTTAAGCTTTCATACAGTTCATGACAAGGTGCCATGTTTGGGAAAGGAAAAATCTTTTAGTCTAAATCAAAAATAAATGCATAAAGATTTTATCCTTTATTCGTATTTTTGACATGTTGACGTAAGCACCTTGTTCTTTAATTTATTTGTATTAGACCAAAGCATATCCCCTAAGGCCTTACTTATCCAAATGCGGTTTATCGAGGCCACGTAACCTAATAGAGAACAGCACTATTTAACATAATATTCAATGTGTAATGGCTGGATGTTCTTACTAGCAGCCCACATATTCAAATTATATTAACCCCCACTAAATATCATTTAAAACATTTTTAAAAATAACTTTAAAAAACGGAAGATTTTAGTGTTTTTTTGAAAAGTAGTGCTCCAAGTTATAAAATGTTTGCTATTGGGAGAGGTGTTGCGGCGAATTTCCAATTTATGGTCCAACTTGTACGAACAATTACTTTAAAGCAGGAAGAACTGCGGTCCAATAAAGCTATAGAAATGGCTAGACGTCTGGCCTAAATTACTTTATGGGCCTGGCCAGTAATTACGCTCTCCTTTGAAAAACCCTTTTTCCTGGGTGTTTGCGTCTGTTGCTGACAAACAGAGTGTAGACACTTTTTCATGGGGTGTCTGGTCGATGAATTGTTTTAGAGGAAATTACCCCCCACCTTAATGGTCACGTGTATTCATCAATTGCACTTCCCACCGATGGGAAAAAAAACTTAACTTTGACTGCTGTGTGGTGCAGTCTTATCTTCTGATGGCTCCGTGTACTGAAATGGTGAAGAAGAGCATGTGTCTTAATTGTACTTTACGGGCAGGAGCTAACACGATTTGTTTTTCTTTGTTCTTAAACTTGAAAACACCTCCAGTGGAACTTGTTGATTAAAACAGGAATCCAGAAAGTTGCAGATCTAAAAGCAATCTGTTTACCTTTATTGGAGCTTCAGGGCCCCTGGAAAGAATACCGGGAGCGCTAGAGGGCGATGTTGTCCTTTAAGTCTCAGCTAAAGCAGCCTATTCACAGCTGGAACACGTAGACAAGGCAAGGGCCGTACCATTGTCCATGTTTTTACTGATTTATATCATAAACGTCTTATGCCCTGATGAACGTGTGTGAAGAAGAACGCGCTACTTTTAACAGTTACAAAGCCCCATTTTTCTAATCGGTTATTGCAGCACCCTTATACTGATTTTGAAATCTCCTGACAGCTCCCAGGCCCCATATTTCAGCAATATGTCACACATTTGCACAAAGGAGAAGCCAAATGTAATCGTTAGAGAGAAGACTTTCTGAAGGCAGAAGCAGACTCAGCCCACCGTGTAAATGCAGAGAAAATAACAACAGAGACACTGATCTTTCACAGATGTTTTTTTTTTCCTTTAAAGGGCATGTCTCTGAGCCTCGTCGTTTTAATATTAGTATTAGCCTGCTATTGTTATTGTTAAATAACCAGCGAAGTAGCCTGTCGTTTTTAGACTGTCCCACAGCGTCCTGCTTGTTGTGATACTATTAATAATATTACTAATACTTAAAATGTAAACTGTAGTGCTGTGTGTTTCATTAAAGCTTCACAAAGCTCACATTAAAACAAGTAATTACAGTTTAAAAATGGCGTCAATTCACTGACAATAAAACACACCAAGTACACTCAGATTTAGCTTTCTTTTTATATATAAATCCAAGTTGTTTTGCTTTATTTGTACACCTTATACACTCATTTCATGAAATAAAATGCAGCTTATCCTTCTTCTGCTGGTTGTGCGTTTTAGCGCAGTTATGGAGTCATAAAGAGATGTGGCAGCACATACTGCTGTGACCAGATAGAGTAAGCATCACTTTTGTAATCACTATTGAAACGGCTGAACTACTGTTTACACACACGAGGAATGGATCGAACTCTGTCTCTGCAAAGGAAGCTGCTTACCCTTTAGATAATACGAATAGTTAGAGACCGTACTGGTTCAATTACGGGTTCAAAGGAGAATAATAGACCTAGAAGGAGCATGGGAGTAACATTTTAGTACGTCTGTCCGTCTGACGTTATTGTGTACAATCACTACAGCAGGACAAAAACAGCAGAACAGGCCTGCTTCCATCAGATTATATATATATATATGTGTGTGTGTGTGTGTGTGTGTGTGTGTGTGTGTGTGTGTGTGCGTGCGTGCGTGCGTGCGTGTGTGTTTGTATACATACTGTGAAAAGGGACAGCTTTTTAGTGAGCACTGCGCTGCATGCAGACTTTTCCCGTATTAATGTTATGCGTGTAGGCCAAGATAATCAGGGCAATTTAACATAAAAAAAGAGTAAAAAGTGATAACTTTATTAGAAAAAAACGACGTAAGACACATAATACACCTTTTTATTTTATTTTATTTTATTTGATATTGTTGGGAGAACTGTGTGTACATTAAAAAAACGAAGAAAAGAAGAAGACGAAAAGAAAACAAATGTGATGTATGAGTTTTAAAGTTCGCTTGTCAGGAATGCATTTTAAAGTCTCCTCTCCCCCACTCATCCCAATATAATTTTAGATTTTTAAAATGTTTTTTTTTATTGATGTATTGTTATAAATATGCTTATGAATTTAACCGCTTTCGTTTTCATAGCGACTGCAACGAAACAAGCATAAAATATGACTATATTTTCTAGATCCTATTCAACAGAACCTGGACGTTACACGGTGTTTCTATGAGAATAGAGCTGCGGATGAATATAGAATGACAATGCGGAGGAACACTAAATGACACTTCTCCAAAAGCGAATGAAACACTGCGGTTTGATAAAAGTGTGGGTAGGCAGCCTCTGGCTAATCAGGAGTAATGTGACGAGGAATTTGTAGCTCAGAATGGGTCACAAAGACAGATACACTGTGCATGGCAAATAATGACACAAATTTGCCTGTAAGCATTAACTTAGTTCACCCCCCTTTTTAATCTTTAGTTTCTTGAAGGCAGACTTTGACATGATTCCAGGATCTGAATTTATGGCTCTGAGAAAATCAGTGTCGGCCTATCAATAAGCATGCAGCACTAAACGTGTCAGTGAAAGCCACTTGGCAAAAGAAGGAGAAAAAGAAGAAGAAGAAAACGATTTTTAAACTTTGCAAAGCCCTAAATGTCGTTTGCAGAATAACTGATATGTGATTGATTCATTTATATAAATGTATATTATGTGGCATGCCGAAACGCTTAAAGTCGTACAACAAGATATGTGTGTGTGTGTGTGCGTGCCTGCATAGATAGATAGATAGATAGATAGATAGATAGATAGATAGATAGATAGATAGATAGATAGATAGATAGATAGATAGATAGATAGATAGATAGATAGGTTAAAAGTACAGTAAAACTGCATCAGTCTATTTCCCTCCAAAAGAAAGGCCTTCGAGTGTAGTCTACATTACAATAACGTCATAGTCGCAATGCAATGTGATTCAACAAATCCTGAGGTCTTGCATCGTTCTCCCTCTTTCACGGGGACACACGCGGGGAGAGAGAAAGGAAAGGGAGCTATAAGACAGGAAACCAGAGCCATTGCTCGGGCTAGCCTAACTATAAATCGCACAGTGCTTTCTCTGGCGTGCCACCAGATGAACGAGACTGAAATATATGACATTCCTCTTTGGTGCAGTCGTAGACACATGTGCAGAGACTGCATGCAGTTGCAGTATTTAGGTCTTTAAGTGTCGAGTTTCAATTACACGAAAAAACTTTCACACCATAGTGTATCTCTGTCTCTAATAATAAACAACAGCTGGCCTGTAAGAGCGTGGAAAAAAGCCGCTGATATGCAATATCATTTGGAAACACAAAAGTCCCGCATCCGTTGAAAATCTGTCCTTCAGGACAATGACTGAACATCCACGGGAAAAGGCGGGCGACAATGCATTAGACTTTTAATGAGGGGAAAAAAGGTGTAAATTATACTTGCTGGTTTTATTGTGTGGCGTTTTCCTAGCATCTGCTGCACAGGCCGTGAACTCACAGATGAAAAATAAAATAAAGGCACAAAGTTGTTCTGTATTTTATACAAGAAATATTTGGTTTCTCAAAAGATTTTGTTTCATAAAATCTCCAGTTTCTGCAAAACGTTAAACATCAACGTGATCTATGGCAAATTATGCATTTTAACACTGTAATATCCAAACCTTGGACCAGTTTGATGTTGCCAAATATTTAATAAAAAAAAGATTAATCTCATATACTTAATCAGACGCGTTTCTCAGTTGTTCTGTACACTTTGCATGAAGTTTTAGATTTTTGAGTGATGCAAACGACGACAGAAAAAAAAACAGGGGGAAAAGCTCTTGCATGGGGGACCTGGTGGGGCTTCTGCTATTATGCGCCAAGATGGGGAGAATTGCTGCAGTCCAAATTCCTTTTTGTGAGGGGACAATTTACAACTTGGTAATAGACCTTTTTATGTGCCTCCATCGCCTGTCATTGGATGCCACTGGTCATGTGCGAGAGGCAAACGTCTTCATGGCCCTTTTCCTGATTTCCCTGGCGATTTCCCCCCACTGCATTCTGTATCACGTTGTCTATGGTGTTAAACCGATACACTACGGTCTGCTCTCTTAAAAATCGCCTGCCATTCGTTTCATAATTGTCTGATCAGCGCATATTTTCCCGGCGCTGCGTCGTTTGTTTATTTATTTATTTTTTACTGGATGACAAGAGAAGCGTTTCAACTTTATCCACATCCCACCTTCTTCATTCACAGAGCTGTGCTGGCTCTTTCACGCAAAATGCACTGCCTGAGCAAACTTCAAAGAGCAAGCATGGAGTACCTCACCGCCATAGGTAAGATTTCTTGTGCGACAATGGCGTTTATTAGTTGGGCATGTGTGAGAGCATGTAAAGTTTGACAGCTTCCTGTTTCATTGGTCATGTAAATGAGCTGCAAGGTAATGGCACTCAGGTAATTTGGTGAAGTCACATGTTGCTGGGTGTGTTGGGATTAATTGT